AGTGCGGTGGCTCGATGGAGTTTCCGCCTCTTTGGACGTTCTAGCGCTAGCCGACCTGCTGTAACGTATGGATGACGGAAGATGATGGATTCGAAAAGAAAATGCAGAGCGGTGTTACTACTAGTTACTACGTTATCGAAAGTAGGGCTTCCGAAACATTCCAGCGAATACATATGGTGCGATTTGAAGAAGATACTGAGCTGCACAAACGGTTGCTATGCGTCGGGTTTCTGATCATTGTGACGATAGCAGCACTGCACGAGGGGAAGATAGCAATTACTTTTATGCAACGATCTACATTGTTCAGAGATGTGTAGCCGATTGAATCTCACTTTCCCTTATACTTGGAATTGAGTGGAAGCTATGTCTATTCGACGAGAAACAGCGACGGAAGTAAAATGCAGTTGTCGGTGTTGCAGCAAATCTATCGGTAGTTGACACTTGACAGATTATATATGAATTGCGTTTCGAGACAAGCCGGTGGTTTCACACATGCATGCCGTTGACCTGGACGGAGGCGTCATCTCATAAGGTGCGCCGAGTCTGCGTTTGAATGACCCTCGCAGGACATGCAACATGGATGAATACCTATATCAAACGCAGCGTGAATAGGAAATAGTGCGTCTAAATTTAGAAATGGTAGTTGTTTTTAATCGACCATGACCGAGCAGCAAGGATGGCAAAGGTACCTTAAGGACATTGCAACTTAAAAATAACTAATTAGCTTTTCCCAAATTAGAAGACCCATCTGGCTTTATATTGCAATTTTTGTCGTGATTTACTACTCACATCTTGCTATAGCTGAGTTCGTAACGTTCGAACCAGAGATGCATTGATTCTCTAGTGGCACGCATCACTTTGTTACCGGGTGCTGGAACATGCCTGACAGGTTTTCTTTTACGGCGTCGTCTAGTGGAACGTTTAGTAAATTCTCCAGCACGCTCACAAGTAGGATTTGGTATGCATGTTTATGTATTCTGCACTCTTTGCACGTACAGCGGCGTTAAAGGGTGACACGGTCTCACAGTGGGTGAGAGAAGCGTGGATCGCTGCAGAGAAATGCACGCCGAGAGGCAGACGTCCGGCGTCAGGGGAGTGCAGAGGCGAGCTGAATTTTAATTAGAAGGCTAGACGGTCGCTGACACAGATTCGAGGAGCGCGCCGGCTCCGCAGAACGAGAGCGAGAGAGAAACCCGAGACACGGGATCGCCCCACCCGGCGGAGGGCGGTTACCAGGGAGGTCGAGCGATACGGCCGGCACGCCACCTGCTGCACAGCTGGCTATTGGAGTTGTGAGCATGGTTAGCTCGGTTTAACTTTTTATGACGGTTTTTATGACACTTTTACATAGCTTTAGTCTGAAACATATGCATGAGTTAACATGAAAGGACCCACTCATGTTTTTATTTTTTTTTTCTACAGCATTAAACACGCAAGAAAAGACCAGACTTGCTTTTGCTCTAGTCTTGCACTCAAAGGAAAGGGTTAAAATTCTAAATTCGTAAGTGTGAGCTTCACGGCATACTGATCTCAGGCAACTTTTGCCAAATTGTCAGGGAACTCAGATTTGTTTTTCAATAGAAAAACACAATTCTAAAGAATAGTGTTTTAACTATTGACAACAAACCTTCGGTTATACAATGAAAAGGCAGCTTTGTGAGCTGCTAGGCTATACATAGTGCAGCACCGTACTCATAAAAAACATCTCAGCTAGCACAGTGCACTCCTTGAAGCATTCAAACGCTAGACACATGCTTCGATCGATCCTTCCATTCTTCCGTCACCTTTGGCACCGCAGCGACTACCAGCACCATAATTAGACGCATTGAGTTCGGGCCGAGCGCGGTCTCCCGTCCAACAGCGGCTCTCGGTGACCTACTGTACGCACACGCGCCACCCGCCGGGCGCACCGTGCGGGCTGCGTGTGTCCAAAATTCATTACACCGCGTGAATAAATAGAGAAACGCCTTATTAAGATGGTAATGGGGACTATTTGGATTCGGGTGCCGATGTGTGACTGACCTCTGCGGGATCCGACCGGGGTCGTCGATGAAAAGGCGGCCTCCGTATTGTCTGTATGATGGCCGAGCGGTGCCGGCGAAAGCCGATGCACCAGGATTGGCCCTCGAGGTTTGAGCTAAGCCAGTCATTGGCATGTATTGAACACGGCATGGCCTTCGGGGCCGGGGGTGACAACGGGTAATGCCAGTATAGCGTATCCGCCTTATAGAACTGGCCAGTTGGCTTGCTAGTGAAATACGTAGATAGCTTCTGAGGAGGCGTCTTTCAATATATACATACTGGTGCCAACTGCCAAACCACCGAATCTTATTGTCTTGCAATTCGTCTATCTCATGCATCATATGCTGATAAATTCACCAATGCGTTAGCTCAAATGCCAAAGCTAAAAACTCTATCGATGAAATGGCAGCCGCACATAAATTCAATGCATCTTTCCGTACCTCACCCTTCACCCTCTCACTCTGCCTCTCGCCGACATATCACTCCCCTCCTCCCCTTCCCTTCCTGAGCTTGCGGTCAGTGCTCTAGAGCGACCATCCCTTCTGGGGGTGTTACTAAGGCGTCCCCAATGTGTCCCGCGCACTGGGTCAGACCCGTCCCGGGCGCGAGTTGCTGGGTGGGAGGAACCAGTCTGGATTGAGGGTTTGTCGTGAATACAGAGCCAGAGCCGCCTGCCGCGCCGAGAGGGAAGAAGGGCGACCGCAAGACGGGGGATGTGACAGATTAGTGAAGGAAAGGGGAGAGGGAAGGGTGGCGAGTGAGGGCGGATGGGTGGCGAACAAGAAGAGAGGAGGGAAGAGAACAGGAGAGGAGATATAGAGAGAAAGAGAGAGCGAGGGAGAGAGAGAGAGGGAGAGAGGGCGAGAGAGAGAGAGGGAGAGAGGGCGAGAGAGAGAGAAAGAGAGAGAGAGAGAGAGAGAGAGAGAGAGAGAGAGAGAGAGAGAGAGAGAGAGAGAGAGAGAGAGAGAGAGAGAGAGAGAGAGAGAGAGAGAGAGAGAGAGAGAGGGGAATAGGTGAGTGGGTGTGGGGGCCGCGGAAACAAGGACACGACGTACGGCATGTGTCACCACGCGCTTTGTGCAGAACCGGTTCCTGTGAGAGATTTGTGGGCCATCTATAATAGAAAGGTGACGGAAAGCGGCGAACAATGTACAATTGGTACTGTTAGGTGTGAAAACTTTTAAAAGCAGCATACCGGCAATTATCTACAGCTTTAATGATGCCATGCATTTGTTGCTTTATTGTTACGATTTTTTGGGTAAGTTAAAAGTTTTGATGCTTGTGAAAATTGACGTTGAAATATGCTTGCACCTAATTGCTTTAAATTTGGTACTATTTAGAATCAGTCAGACGGTGGAGAGTGATAGGTTATGATTTTTCCATTTACCGTGCTTCCGTTATGCGTACGGGCTACTGTCGCGCTTTACCAGGGATAGCAAGATTTCCACACCGCATATCCTTCATACAGCGGAACAATCAAGGATCTATCTGAACTTTCCACACTCTGACTGGTCTCTATCAGATGGCCACGAACGCATGGAATGCGGTCAGAGCAGGGTTACTTGCGATGCTACTGCCATGTCAGATCATCGCTTGATGAAGCTTGATAAGGCACTACCGGGGATGCATGCCACTCAGAAGCAAGAGAAGCTACTCATGCTAAGCCGGCTGCCTAGCTGAGGGCATACGCGGGGATAACTGTGCATATCTGGGCTTGTTTGTTGACTGATGAAGCTGGCTTGCGTTTGCCATCGCTATACTAAACCACAAAGCCAGTCATGCCCAACCGCCAGATGAACAGCACACTGACGTTTAGTAGATATATCCGGGAAAAGTGACCCGGTGAGCTACCTTATGAGGCGGAGACTGTCCGTCTATCCATCATGGCTGCTGAATAGCAGCCAGCAGGTGGCCAAAGTATGAGCTTATAATTCAGTCAGAATGAACTCACTTGGGGCCGGGAGGTAGACTACCTAGACTTACGTTCATAAGTCCCATAACAAAGTAATTTTGAGGCACAGAAGTTCATTGCAACAGACATTCATTGCAAGTTTTTCTCAGAGCACGGTTATTCGTACACCCAAGGCCAAACATCACCCACTGAATGAACGAGAAACCAGTCTAAGTTCATGGCTCGTCTGAAGGTCATTCTCAGTCTCGTTTACACAGCATTTCGGTCAGCGGACATGGCAAGCCGCCAGATCAAACCTCAATGACGACGTGGAATCCATGTGAGCATGAGCAGCCGGTTCATCAGGTCTGATAGCGGCACGACTTGGCCCGGTCAGTGAAAGCTCTGCCGTATCGTTGCCAATTCATCTCGCAGTGAGAGGGTGGGCGGCTGATCATAATTATTGCACGACTGCGGATGATTACATTCCACCGTCAAATATGACCGAGTCGACGGGCTGTCGGGTTTCTCTCAGCCTACTTTTGGGCCATACAGCCCCATGGGACTGGGTGGTGCCTTGACCGGGGGCGTCTTACTATCGGTCGTTACCAGCCAGCTCTATGGCAAACAACCTTAACCTGTACTTAGCTTCATTTTACGCTAACATCATCAGAGTTTTCCAGCGTAGGTGCATTGTTTTCACATGAGAAGCGGGAAGTTTGGGGTTCATGTATGGTAATGCAACGTTTATGATCGGGTAATTGGACGGATATTATATCGAACTCCGCCCCAGACATTATAGTCTTTTTAAGCGTCTCGCGACTGCCTCATGAACGGAAAGGCGATAATTAATATCACACACATTTTCATTGAGCTTGAATAGGTAGAGACCTGTAAGTGTAGGCCCACCAGCGAGGCAGAGCCTTAGTGTCGATGAAGTTCGTATTGAAAATGTCAAGACGACTGAACATAATCGCTTTTTATCGCATCGAAAAATTAGGATGTTTTGACTGTTAGATGGAAAAAATCATTGCGGGTTTCAAGCATTGTATAGGACTTTATGGGGCATTTCACAGAGTGGACTGACCTGATCGATGCCGTTGCCGTAGCGCATCAGGATCGGGACGACCACCGTGGCGTCCTGCATGTCCTTCACTTCCTTCTTCAGCTGCGTGAAGTGGAAGAGACAGTCCTTGTCGTGGTCGATGCGTCTCTGCAGGATGCCCAGGAAGACATCCAGGCTGTGGTTGCCCAAGATCGGCTCCACTACGTTCAGGATCGTCTTGTTCTTGATCAGTCGCTCCTGGATCTCCTGCTGAGTAATGCTGAGCTGCCGTTGGTGCGACACCTGGATCGGGGCCGGCCCGTGGCTGATGCTGCGACTGATGGTCTGTTTGGAGGATGTGGACAGACTCAGCTCCTCCAGCTTCTCCAGAGCTGCCTTGTAGGAGGTCACCACCTTCTTGAACTCGAGTTTCAGCGCGTCGTGCAAGTTCATCAACGATCCGTCAGATGTTCCCACCATGCCGTGGTGGCCCATCCCCTCGATCGCTTTGTCCAGTGCCTTACGTCTGCCCACAAGCATCTTCTTGATCTTGGGATCAGTGTGGATGATGACCTTGAGCAGTTTCTTGCAGGAGGCGATGAACGGACCGCACTGCTCCCATTTGATGTTGCCCGTCAAGCTGTCCTCCTGCTGAGCGAAGAACTTGACCATCTGCATCACGACGGCGTCTGGCTTAAGCGTCTTGACGGAGAAGTTGAGCCCGTCAGAGAGGAACACCTTGGCGTACAGCGCCTCCAGGATCGGCAGGCTGTCGGGCATGGACTCGATGAACACATCCACGGGCAGGTCGGTCAGGATCACCTTGAACGTGCCGTGGCTCAGGCGGTTGACAAAGTTAGCCGCCTCACGGTACTGCTGGTTCTCATACATCTGCAGGATGCGCTTCACCGCAAACTTGGGACTCACGTCAGCGATCGTCATCGAGCTGATGCGGTTGAGGTCCAAGTAGCTGCTTGGCTCGTCTGCGTCACCTTGCCACTTGCTCTTCCTCCACTGCAGACGCTGCACAGGACGACGGTGAGCCTTCTCCGGGCGAAACCTCATCTGCTTCTCCGGTGCCGGCTGATGGTGGGGAATCATCGTCTGCAGCGGCATCGCCGGCTTGTAGGTCCACGTGGAGGTCTTCATGGCCGACAGGTCCATGGGGAGCGAGGCGCGTGCCCCCAGAGGGTACTTGCCGCGCAGGTGCAGGTCGTGGTACCGCTCCAGGCGGTCTCCGTTCAGACTGTGTGGGTTAAACATGTCTGCGCACGGGGTCGAACGATCCCCGAGTGTCCTCAAGTCCTGAAACCCTCACAGTTCACACACCAGTCTCAAAGTTCCCACTGTCAGTCTGACACCTATCGTTTCTCCACCACTTCTAGTCACCGGGCCGCGGTCTGTCCGGTGCCGGCAGCGTGGGACGCGGCGCGTGGCGGTGGCGGTGCGGGAGCGCTCGAGACAGCGGCCGACCGGGGGAGCGTGGCGCCGCCGACTGACGAGCGCAGCAGAAGTGGGCCGTCGTCGGTCGGGGCGCCGTCGGCCCGACCACTCGGAGAAACTGAGCTCGCTCGCCGGCCGGACCTCCCGACGAGAGGCGTGACCGCCGGGCGGCCGGGCGGCGGGGTTAAGTGGGGAATAATGCGCCCGGCGATCGTGACACTGGCGGTGTCACCGCTATTATCGTGGCGATTTGTCTCCGCCGAGAGTCCGGCACTGAGCGCTGTTTAACAACCGACTAGAAACGGTGAAAATGGAGAATTAAAACCGCTAACGGGTTGTTTTGTTGAAGTTTGGCAACCAGAGGTAGGATATAGCTTTTGACGTCATTTCGACTGGCTGAGAATTAAGAATATGAACTTCAAGTGTCTGAATTGACTTCAAGTAAGCACAGTTCACCTGAGGAACACGCAAGGTCTGGCCAGTGACCAAGGACAAACACGTTCAAAAGCGAGACGGCGAGAGGGTTATACCCACAACTCTCATCCCTGACGTTTTTTTTTTTAGATAACCGATAGGGTCCGCAAGGGTAGGTAAAAGTCAATCAATTTCAGCACAAGCTGCAGACTAATAAAGCTCAAGTGCTGTTGTTGATCGATCTTACATACATAATGTTTGTCCATGCTTCAGGGCACGGCAATGTACGGGCGAGGCAGGCCCGCCTGTTTCCAGTTTCGGTGATTGGATGGTTACAACTTTTATCGGTATCCTGCCTTCTTCGCCCGATTCACGTAATTTCAATGTGGAAATTCAACTTCTATAGCATTGCCTCCGTACTTATGTTAATGGCGCTATGCAGGTATTACAATACGTATTCATAATTATAAGGCCATGTTAACAATGAGTTTGGCATTATCAAGTCACTCTCCCGTTGAGCCTTTGAAGTTCAGTATCTTGGCCGACCTCCAAGCGTTCGTGTTGTGTGCCAGCGGGGTGCTATTCAGACTCCCACGATCGATAAAGTGGTGCCTCCTCTCTCTCTGGGGTGGCTCCCAGGTCACTTTTACCGGATCTACTGAGCCCCTGTGATCTCCTCTTCAGTCACGCGCAGCAGCCGACGGTGGGTTGTCGCGCATGGTGTTATGACTATTAATGTATTCACAAATATGTTTCTCTCTAGCTGGGTTTCCCTTCACCAATATCTGACTTGAAAGGTAGGTATTAGTAGATACTGGAGTACCTACTGGGAGCCTTGGTAATATTTTAGTGTCCCGGGTAGGTAGAAATCCCGATATAATGGTTAAAATCGCAGGTTTAATAAGTGATGTATTGCGGACAAAATAAAATGCACAGTTTTGAGTGCATTGGACCGTGAACGATGGAGAAGTTAAGAAAAGGACAATTAAAATTCGTCGTTACATGACATTTAAAAGTTAGATCATGGATGATTATAAAAAATAGTCTTAGCTTTAAATGTTTCGTATTCGTTTCGGGCTACACTGGGGTAAAAAATTGTTAAAAACCAAATATTTCGGCTTTATTGAGTAGCCTTGTTCACTGGTTTGAAATATGAAATACAAAAAGACGATACAAATGTGATGACATGCGAAACAGGTTCGTGCTATCAATGATCTGTGACTTCCTTTTTTTTACACTGTGGATACGCTGAAACAACCATGCAGTTCAAATCATCACACATCGTTATGACAGTCGTAATAAGATATTATACATCGTCTGATTCGTATCATCGTCGAAAGTCGGAATCGTATAAGCGCCAGACGGTCTCTTATAAAAATGCATTAAAACATGTACTTTGGCTATCATGCAAAGACAAGAAAGAGTACCTAGATACTTTTGAGATGCAAAAAAAAACAACAACTATGGTTCCCCATTTTCTCTATAAAACTAACACATGTCAACACAAAGCAACGTCCCAAATCGGGCTAATGGTAGCTTTGCCCACCCCCCTATTCATTGCTGACTTGTGTATCTTTATCTCTAGAGCTTCCCGAATCGTTCTTCTTTTCAAGTTCCGTTCAATGGCCAAGGTTGTAGCTTTTCGCGGGTCCAAATCTCTAGGACATGAGAAGGCGTGTTGTGCTGTAGCCGATGTGTCCGTGCGACCATGTCTTATATCAGCCACATGTTCTTTCAGCCTCGTAAGCTTGGGACGTCCACTTTCTCCGACATAAGACTCCCCGCAATCACATTTAATCTGATAGATGACACCCTTTTGCATTTCTGGATCCGTCTTGTCTTTTACTTGAACTAGATGATCTCGAAGCGTTCTAGATTTGTGCCCTGTTTTGATGTTGTGTTGACGTAAAAGTCTTGCTATGGGCTCGCTCAGTCCTTGCACGTAAGGTAAAGAAATGTACGTTGTTCGGCTTGTTTCTTCATGTGCATCTGTCCTATTTGCTTTCTTCTGCGCTAATCCCTTTTTAATCACATGATTTGGGTATCCGTGCTGCTTGAACACTTTCCCTAAATGCTCCTTTTCTTTCGCTTCCGCTTCCTTGGTGCTAGATATTTTCTCTGCTCTCCTGGCGAGGTTTCTGATGACTCCAACCTTCACTGCTGACGCGTGATTTGAGTTGTTTCTTATGTAAGTGTCACTTGCCGTTGGTTTCCTGTAAACAGCGGTTCGAAGACCCTGTGCACTGTCCCTGCTGACGCATACATCGAGAAACGACAGTTGGCCGTCCATTTCCTTCTCGGCGGTGAATTGAATACTTGGATATAGGCTGTTCATAAGCTGCATGAATTCATCTAAAGCTGTTTCCCCGTGAGACCAGATAACAAAGGTATCGTCTACATATCGGCGCCAGTAGGATGGTTTTAGCGGAGCTACAGCTATTAGCCTTTCCTCAAGATGCTCCATGAAAGCGTTGGCGAGTACAACTGACAGGCTAAGCCCCATCGGCGCGCCTTCTACCTGTTCAAAAAACTCTCCTTGGAAGACAAAGTATCTACACTCAAGACAGGCTAACATCAGCCTACGGATAGCATCTACAGAGAGCTCACTCCTCTCGGCCAGCGTTTCGTCATCATTGAGTTTCTGACACACTACATCTACAGCGTCCATCACAGGTACTTTAGTAAATAGAGAAACAACATCAAAGCTCACCATTACATCTGATTGCGAGATTTCCATTTCCCTCAGCTGATCTACGAAAGCACTTGAATTGGGTACCGTATACTCAGATTTGCCCACCACAGGACTGATCACCTTCGTCAGGTACGATGCTGTTTCGTACGCTGGAGAGTCGATCATGCTAGTGATAGGTCTCACTGGTGTTCCTGGCTTGTGGGTCTTGGGAAGGCAGTAAAGTTTAGGAGCGGTCGTGTGTGTCGGACGTAATTTCTTCGCAAGTTCGTTCGTCATATTGCCGTTCTTCCTCAGAGAGTCGATCACGTTTCTCATCATTTTTTCTTTTCCAGGTGTAGGATCGCTTGGTACCTTCCTATAGGCAGGATCATCGAGCAGAGTTTTCACCTTGTTGGTGTAATCCTCAGTTGCCATTACTACTACCCTATTTCCTTTGTCTGAAGGGAGTACTTTGATGTCTGATCTTCTTTGTAAATGCTTCAGAGCATCTCTCTCCTGAACAGTCATATTGTCTTTTAGCTCTTTTTGCTTGGCCTTGGCTATGAGGCCACTGACCTTTGACCTGGTGGCGTTTGCCGCTTCTATGTTAGTTTCTTTGGAAAGTCCTGCTTCTACTGCTGCAATGATCTCTTTAACTGGTAAAACCTTAGGAGTTGGAGCAAAGCCCAGACCTTTTTCCAGAACATGAATATCTATGTCTCTCAAAGGCTTACCACTTATGTTTTCAACTGGGGTTTTCGCCACATGAACCTTCTGGCCGGCTGACATACGCTCAGATTCATCGCAAAGCTTCTCAAACTTCTTAACGTGATTCTTTTTGACGTTAAAAAATGTTCGCTTGGCTGACTTGTCAGTAACCCTATGAACTGTGACCATGTCTTCTCCAGCGAGCGTTGATTCAAGCGATCTGATGAGCTTGGTTTTCTCCCTCAACTTTTCGGCCTTCTTTTTCTTTAAGCTGTTGATGTGATCAGTCAAAAGCTTCTTTTCTGTTTCTCTCAAGATTCGTTGTGTTCGCTCGCCTCCTGAGTGCTTCGTGAGTCTCATTCCCTTAGGAATCAAGTCGTTCGTTCTGCATCTTCGAAGGAACACAATCTGATTCGTTAGGTTTGCGAGTTTACATTTGATGAACTTTAACCCTATTCCTGGCGGGGGGGGGGGGGGGGGCTCAGGAGCCCCCCCCCCCCTGAGGTTTTTTGGTTATTTCTCCCAAACGCGTTGAGCTAGGAAGCTCAAATTTTCTGACTTTTCCTAAAAGGCTTCTACGCAACATGTCTGAAAATTTTGAGTTGATCTGACCTCAGGTCAGGTCACCAGAGGCGGTTTGGTGACCCTACCTCAGAAAAGTTTGCAATCACGCCAGAGCTAGAGTTTTTGACCGATCAATTTCTTCTCTTCAGGGTTTAGTTAGGGTACCAGTATGTGCAATTTGTATATCTCGGAATTTTGATATCGGTGACCTAAGGTCAGGTCAATTTCGCGACCTCCCCATTATAAGTCAATGGGGGAAAAATCAACTCCCTGTTTTTACCACTAAAACGGGTCGGAATGGCCCCATATACCATACATGACTTCATATACGATCAACCTTCACTACCTTGAGGTCTGTTTTGCTGTTGGGCAGCTGTGAGGTCATGTGACGTCATCAAAGGTCACCAAAGGTTTTTGGCCAATAACTCCGTACAGGAACAAGATACAGACGCGTGGATGGTCTCATTGTGTTCAGCTCGTCAAGACGCATCGAATGATATACATGATGACCTCGAGGTCACGTGACCTGAGGTCAACCTTTGACCTTGACCTTTCGAGGTCAACATATATATCATTCGATGCGGATTGACGAGAGGATCACGATGATGCCCTTAGTTTGTTCCTATCTTGACTAATTCGAAAGTTATTCGAGAAAAACTCTCTCCATATCTAGCGCCGCCATTTTGACTTTTTCAATCCCTGTGACGTCATCTTTGACCTGACCTGAAAATGACCTTTGTAAAAATTGTAGATCTTGGCCGTGCGTATCCGATGCCGTTTACCGCTTGTCGCTATCTTGCTTCGTTCTCGAGATCTCAGGGGGGGGGGGGCGAATCGGCCCCCCCGCCAGTTTCTTGTCCCGGCGGAGCCCGCCAGGAATAGGGTTAAGGTTACTGTTAATTGATAAACTCTCCGCCCGTAGAGATTCATCAGGTATTGACGAAGTGTCATTTTTAATCTTCCTCAGGTAAATGATAGTAATTCGTATTCGTTTCGGGCTACACTGGGGTAAAAAATTGTTTTTAACAATTTTTTACCCCAGTGTAGCCCGAAACGAATACGAATTACTATCATTTACCTGAGGAAGATTAAAAATG